TCAGGGGAGGGGGGTGGGACTGGCAGTTGAGGGAAACTGCTAGGGGAGGGAGGGGCATACCTCTTCAACAAGGGTACCTGCATGATCCATGTTTGTATACCTAACCCTGAATTGTACCCCACATCTTTATAATAAAAATAATAGTAATAAAAAAAGAAAATTTTAAAAGAAATGCAAGCTTAGGAACGTAAACACTGACAGAACTAAGCTGTTATCAGTCACACAGCTTTGGGATACGGTATTGGGAAAGCAGATATTTGGCAGCAAAGCAGTCAGTAACAGAATGCTGTTAGAGCACAGTGTTAGTTTTTGGGCCGTTGGAACTCTGTGCTCCATTTGCGAGGTTTATAGGATGAGTTGTTTTAACTACAGACTCATCTCCCATCCCCCTACAAACCCCATCAGTAGCCTCAAGTGATTCTCCTGCTTCAGCCTCCCAAAACACTCAGATCGCAGTGTGGGCGGTTCTCCTCATAGTGATGTTGACAATCAGCAAAACCTGTGCTGCTCTAGCAGTTGTGAAGCCGCATCGCATGCAGCGCCACGTTGAAGTGTGAGAAGGTGTCGTTCCTAGGCCGCTGTGAATTTCCCAAATCACATGTTCCAAGCGGGGCCCAAGTGTGGCATTTCAGCATCTAAGTGAGGCTACTGGTGATGATCCTACTCCCATCCCTGGACGTCAGCCATGTCCTTGCTGCCCCTGGCTAGGGCGGTCGAGGGGTGGTCAAGATGTTGGCTCTCTTGCCCTGAAGTGGGTCATCTCTCAGTCCCAGCAGGGCTGAGCACTGAGCCTGCTGTGGGAAATTGTTCCTCAAGGCACCCTGAATGGCCTGCGTTTGCTGCTCTGTCTCCCCCAATATCCCCTTCTGGGGTCACTCTGTAAACAAACTATTTGCACTACAATCCTTACCTTAGTAAGGATCCTAAGCTTTGGATCCTTTGCTTTGGGGGAAGCCCGGACACGACAGGAAACAGATTTGCAAACAGAAAGGAAGAAGGGAATTTACGTGTCTGGACCCTGAAGTCAGGTGGACCTGAATTCAGTTTTGACATTCCCACTCCTGGCTGTGAATCTTGGGGCAGTGAATGGACCTCTCTGAGCATCAGTTTTCTCATGTGTGTGAATAATAACTGAACCTACGTTGGAGGGTCAATTGACGTAACGGGTGTGAGTTGTGTTGGACGATGGTAGACACAGGATGTGTGGGCTGAAACCCCACCTGTGGCATTTTTGGAAGTTCTCAGGGGAAGCTAATGTGCCCATCTGGGGAACCACACTTTGAAAGTGACAGGTTTAGACTAGTAACCGTGTACTCCTGGAGCTGGCCTGGCTGCCCAAACACACCCAAAACTCTGTTAGGAAGGAAGGAGACACAACGGGCCATCTCCCCTGCCGCTGGCCAAAAACAAAACGCGTCCAATCCCCCTACTAACCACGGGCATAGGTACTGCCATCACTCTGACAGAAGAGAAAACCGAGGCACAGAGAGTAGGCGACTTGCCCAAGGCCACACAGTTTGTACATTACAGAGCAAGGTCTTGTTCTCCCTCAGTCCTGATCTTCATCTCAACCTTGATGCCAATGGTTTCACCCTGTGGGTGTGTGATAAATACACGTCGGCTTGCTGAGTGAATGCACATTTGAACAGTGTAGTACGGGAAGTGGATCCAGGTGCTCCCCTCTTACTGCTCCTGGGCAGGAGCGCAGGCCAGCAGACACCTGGGAGTTGGGATCAACTGCCAGGCAGTGGCTGTGGCAGCTGGAGCAGCAGGCTGGAAGCAGCATCAGAGCCTGAGGGTCACGGCTGGGGATGGGGCTGCTAGGGCATTGGAAAAGCCTCTTCTGGGCCTGCTGAGAGAGCAAAGCTGCTTTTTCATCTGCAGACCTGAGCGGGCAGCACCCTGATCTCCAGAGACGGCTCAGTAGACCCTGCCCTCCCCCTCCCACCCACCTCTTGCTTCTGGAGGTTGTGAATTCTGGAGGTTCAGGGATCTTCTGGTTGGGAGAATGAAGGAGAGTTTGAGGGCAGGAGAGGGGTAGCAGGGAGGGAGAGGGGAGGGAGGAAGGAAGGAGGGGAAGGGAGGGAGGGGAGAAGGGAAGGAAGGAAGGAGGAGAGAAGAGGAAGGAAGGGGAAGGGTTTCTTAAATAGAGCCAGGCGGAGCCCAGTGACTGTTAAAAGAACTGTAAGACTGTGGCTGGCTGAGGCTGAACATCATACTAATCTTTAAGCTTTTAAAATAATCAGAGAAGCTTTTTGGAGGTCTTAGCATGGCCTCTTCCAGATCAGACTCAGCATGGGGGCAGGTAATGCATTCCTCCGTCTCAGGCTAAAAACATGCTTTATTATTTGTTCCTGAGACAAACATGCGTGCACGCATGCGCGCGCGCACACGCACACACACACACACACACACACACACACACACACACACACACACACACAATGCAAGAACACCTCATGAGGAACTTTACTGAACCCTGAATTCTGTTATTCTGTCATCCAATGCTGCATCATGAAGCCATGAAGAATACAAGAAAAAAGAAAAAACACATTGACTTTGGGCCTGGATCTGACACTGGGTCAGCTCACTCCTTCCAGGGCCTCAGTTTCCTTATTTATGTGAGAAGAAGTTGTTTAGGTAGTAGTGGATGTTAATAGCTGCAAAGCATTGGGTCTCCCCCCAAAAAAGGACAAATAGATGTCCCTGTATCTATTCTAATCATTTAGTAGGGGGTGCCAGAAACAGGGACTTGAGGAGTCAGGAGGCTCAGAGGGACAGTTCTGTGATTGGTTAATGATGTCTGCCATGGGCACAGGACAGAAGAGTGTCAGTGAGTTTAATAGACTCCATGAAGAAATGGGCTGCGTCATTTTGTTCATAGAGTTGACCCCAGAGCCTGACACAGTGCCTGGCTCATAGTAGATAATAAATACTTCTTGGGTAACTGAGCTGGGATGGATGAGAATCAGATCTCCCAATTTTACTGATTAATGTTCTTTGCTTACCAGAAAAGTCCGCAGAGGTCATTGGCTTAGGATCCCGATTTCCCTGGAAGAGTAAGCTTATTCTGCCACTAAGGATGGTGGCTTATACGGTGTTCCTAGGAGACAGTCTTGTGGAATACAGACATCTTCATGTTTCTGAGGGCCACAGCGGAGAAAGCTTTGAGCTGGGATTTTTAAAAAGATTCATAGATGGGCTCTGAGTAATGCCATGTAGTGACGCTCATACATTGTGCCCAGGAAGAGGGACATTTGTGGTTATCTCTAGTGGTGTGCTACTGGCATCCAGCGGGTAGAGGCTAAGGGTTCTGCCCACTGTCCCACTGTGCCCAGAACAGGCCTCACCACAAAGGGTCATGCCACCAAGACGTCGACAGTGCTGAGGCTGAGAAACCAGATGCTGGAATACATGTGCACACAGTACTGCCACATTGGGGTCACAGGGTCTTAGTGCATCATCATCTCCCTGCATTGAGTGGGACTGTTTTACGCATCTCAATATTGACCTCTGGGGCTCAGTTTGACAAGTGAAATAATATGGTGTCATTGTGGAAATGTCTAAGGCCAGATGGCTTGAGTGCAGATCCCAGCTCCTCTGCTCCTAGGCTGTCTGACCTTGAGTAAGCTACTCCCCTCTGTGTGTCAGTGTTCTCTTCTATAAATGGAGTAATAATAGTCTCTCCCTGTGGGGCCGTTATGAGGAGTAAATGGCCCTTGTGCATAAAGTCCTGGCATAGAGGAAGCGTTTTATAAGTGTCCATTGGTATTCCTGTCATTTGCCAAACTTGTGGTGCCCTAAGATGGCAATACCAGCATTGAAATGCAGACACATCTGGCCCTGGAGTCCACAGCCTTCACCCTGACATTGGCTGCTAGGAGACATAACTGAACATCTCCCAGAATTCAGCTGATCCATTGAACATTCACCCA